CGAACTACTAACTTCTAACTACTACTACTACTACTACTACTACTACTACTGCTACTACTAGTACTGCTAATTACTACTACTACTACTACTACTACTACTACTACTACTACTGCTACTGCTACTGCTACTACTACTACTGCTGCTACTACTACTACTACTACTACTACTACTGCTACTGCTGTTACTAGTACAACTATTATTATTACTACTACTACTACTACTACTACTACTATTACCACTACTACAACTGCTGCTGCAACTACTACTACTACTACTACTACTAGTACTACTGCTACTGCTACTGCTTTTATTCCTGCTGCTACTACTACTACTACTACTACTGCTACTGCTACTGCTACTGCTTCTGCTTCTGCTTCTGCTACTGCTACTGCTGCTACTACTACTCGTACTACTACTACTACTACTACAACTACTACTACTACTACTACTACTACTACTACTACTACTACTACCACTACCACTACCACTACCACTACTACCACTGCAACCACCACCACCACCACTACTACTACCACTCCTACTAAAACTCCTACTACTACTACTACTTCTACTACTACTACTACTTGTACTACAACTTTTACTACCACCTTTACTACCACTACGACCTCCTCCTGCTGCTGCTGCTGCTACTACTACTACTACTACTTCTACTTCTACTTCTACTACTTCAACTACTACTACTACTACTACTACTACTACTACTACTACTTTTACTACTACTTTTGCTGCTGCTACTACTACTACTACTACTACTACTACTACTGCCTGCTCCTACTGCTACTGCTGCTAAAGCTATTGTCTTATGACTGTGTTCGTAGTAGAGCAACCCCTGGTTGCACCTCCAAGCATTTGTTGAGGATCCGATCTGGACGCTGCGTAGAGCGGCTGGCAAGGGCCACGTGCTGTCTGGCGACAAGGCTCACCGTGCTACAGCCACCTCACAGCCAGGGGCGATGTATGAGCCAGGTGACGTTGGAAGCTGGAGGGAAGTTCTTGGCAGTGGTGGAGAATTTCGTGGTAGCCGTCGACGAGGAGTCGCCTTTCACGACTTTTCTTCTGGAGGTCAAGGACAGGGCCTAGTCTTCCCTTCCTTCACACAAAGCCAAAGCTACTCGCCACTGCGGGAAAGACGACGATGCACGGCACATGCGCAGGAGCAACCAGCTCCCATGAGGATCGGCTTCACTGGATCCCTTGTTGATGGTTTTCATGACGTCGAATGGTTCGGTAGAGGTCCTCATGAGTCTTATCTGGATCGTCACGCCTCTGCGCGTGTCGGCCTCTTCCAGGGCTCCATCGCCGAGCAGACTGTGGCTCGGACTTAGCTTTCATACAGATGGGTAGTTTTCTAAATTAGGGTCCCTTCCAGGGTCTTTATTATAAGGGCGCCGTACTATACTGGGGACCTGAAAAGGACCCTATTTTGGAGAATTACCAAGATGGATGGTGAAAATGATGAAAAGATGGATAGATGGATGCTGATCGCACACATAAATTAGAATGACACCGTGTTCTGGAATGCAGGTCTGAGTGTGTCGAAGTTGCGTGTCTTCGGCTCTCCGAGGTGAAGTATGTTCGGCCCCAAGAGAACGGCAACAAGTTCGAGACTAGATGGATGTCGTTGAAACGACGTCCTGCAGACCCCTGCACCATGATGCTCATTTCCGCGGCGGCACTAGACTGAAATCAAGGGCTGAGTGGACAATACGGCTTACATGGACGTACTGGCTTATCGTAGCAGCTGATTGTTTGAGTATGTATACATACATGCACACATACACCCATCCATCCATACATACACGCATTACATACTTACATACATATATGTATATATACACAGGTGTATATGCCTCTAATGGTCGGTCTGGGACTTCAGCCGTTCCCTGTGGCCAGCAGCCTAGGGCCAAAGCCAGATGCTGGAGATGCAGTGCCATCACTATGCGCTGGAGGATTTCGATGGAGGCGATGTGAAGGCTCAGCAGAGCCTTGTCAATCTTAGGTGTCCTTTTCAGTTATTGGGGCTCGGGTTGCTTGCTTTTTGCAAAGGGGGCCCCTCAGAAGGACACTGTTTTTCAGAGCGACCAAGGAGCTTCCTGCATGCCGGGGAGCTCATCGAGCAGCCCACCACGGCTGCTTGGCTCACCGTGAGCTGGTCAGATGTGTTTGTTTGCTCGCTTGTGTGTGTCTGCGTTCACTAATGTCAGTAGTTGTCGGTCAGTAAGGCAGGCAGACAGTCTGTCTGTCTGAGTGTGTCCGTCCGCATGCATGCATGCATGCATGCATGCATGCATGCATGTGTATGTGTGTGTGTGTGTGCGCATGGCGCATGTGCATGTACATGATATATGTATATGTACACGTGCATCTATGAAAACTCAAGTGTGATATATACACAAAGGAAGCGTGTGTATTTACGTATGTTTGCTTGTTTGCTTGCTTGCTTTCTTGATGTGTTCTTCTTGGTGATTAGTAGGCATGGGTACAAGAATGTTTCAGGCATGCATGATGAATCGTGGCTGCAGGCCTTCTGTGTCGATGCGATCCAGATGGGGGTGGGTGGGATCGATTCCTGGGGGCGAAAGCCTTTGGACGAGCACCTGATCAAGCCGGATCAAGACTGCGATTGGTCCTTCCAGCTGATGCCATGTCGCATGCTTTGAGATGTGGGGGCTTTTGTTGTGCAGGGGTCTGTAGGGGATCCCACTATGCAGAACCTGAGTTATATCATGGTCCCCTAATATTTTTCGGAAACTTCCCTGACGCTCTTCTTGCATGTAACCAAGGCAAAGAAGACTTCGATGGCGACTGGCGCCGGAGGTTGCTCCAAGTGAAGTAATCTCAGCACCCAGGGCCACCAAGCGCACCTCTCTGGGACTTTGTGCAGCATCGAAAAAGGGAGCCACCGACCCTTGCCATCATGGGTGCACACCGAGAGATGTACTTGCTTGCTTCACTTGCACGACTTCCTTCCCGGTGCACCTGCAAATGCTCAGCATGTCCACGTCCATGCTGCATGTTTACAGCCCTACAGGCACCGTGCATGTTCTTCTTGTGTGTTGCGTCACACCTTTGCTCCTGCTCCGTCTGTGAAGGCAAACCCAGACGTTAGCACACCCAGCGTTCCTTTTCTCGACACCTAGTTAAGTTATCACCCTTTATGATGCATCTAAACCCTCAAGGTAACTACAAGCAGAGGTAGTTCGGCGATGCTCCGGACCCTGATCAGGATTGTTTCGCCTGACTTTCGCCGAGGTGAAGTCGCAGCCACCCGCACGGGCGCGCGGCACCGTTTCGAGGAGCGAAACGGGGCTTCGAAAGTGTCGATGAAAGGTGTTATGCAGTTCTGGGTTTTAGTGCGTTTGGGTTCTTAAAGGGCTGTTATTTAAGAGGGGGTGAGGATTGCATAGGCGCTGGCGGCACCTCAGTCCGTGCTGAAAAGAAAGGCTGCTGCGTCTTCTGCTGCTTGTAGGGTTGCTTACAAGATAGCGTTTAATTAGGATGTTAGCACGTTCTTATTTAGAGTTCGGGGTCAGGTCTAGGGCTTGGCTTGGGCTGTTTTTGGATGCACGTATGGATCCAATAACCTTCTATGTTATGTTACGGGCAAAGCATGTATAGTCGGACATAGTTTTATCCTTCAGGGAGCCGTCAGAGAAGACCTGAGTGTGCCAAGAGTCAGGATTGAGAATGTCTTACTTCAAGGAGTCCTGTAGGGTTCCAGAAGTTTCTATGAAAAAGAGGATGCCTGAGAGGGCTTTGTTTCCATCTTGTTTCATTCCAAGGCCCCCTGAGCTATCCCAGGAGGATGGGAATGTCAGTTAGGTCAACTCCTGGGCTTCAGCCGAAGGATTCGGAAGGCTTACTCTGGCAAGTCACTTGAAAGTTTAGGTCTGAAGCCTGAAGCTTTCTGTGTTGACCAGACCCCCTGCCTTCCTCATGCAGTAGAGAGTCAGTTCGTTCATGTTCGTTCTATGGAGGTCGATGCCATTTGGGCAGAAATCGCGCGCTCCGAGCGTGAGGAGAGCAGGCCACTGAGAACAACTGCCGGGGGGGGACGCTGTTGAAGGCTATATTATTATTATCTTATTATTATTATTATTATTAATTATTATTAAATTCAAGGCTGCTTTCTTTCTGGGCATGCTATGCCGTCGGCGAAATGTATTGGCAAGTGTGTTGCATATACAGCCGGTCCGCGCATGACAGCTTTACTTGCTTACTGCGTCGTGCGGGGCCACGGCCTCCGTCGTTTGGGATGGTTGTCGCAACTCGCACCAAAAGCAGGCTTCGACAAGAAGAGATGGCAGAACAGAGCGCGGAGAAGAAGCTTCGCCAGGAGATGCCGCATGGACTTGCTCAAGCCGATGTGCTCATCAGTCGAAGCACAAACTGTTCCGATCTCCACCCAAAACAAAGAACACTTCCATGGCAGGAGCTTCTAACTTTCGAATCCTCATGAAAGGGAATGGCTTTATTGATCAGGGATTTGCACTTTGAACTCCAGTCTGACACCACGCAGGAGGTTCGGGTGGAGAGGGGCAAGATCGAAGCTTGCTCCCACCGCGTGGCCAATGAGCGGCCACAAGCCCAACCACGTCTGTGTAGGTAGAATGCGGAATGCCGGGACATGCGGCGCGACATGCAGACTAGTCACGTGTGATGAAAGGATCCAGACACAATGCCTGAGCGGAAGTGGGCTGCTAAACGATACTGGCAGCAGCTGAGACCAGTCGAGGCTGCAGGAGGCTGAGGAAGCCGTTGATGTAATGTGCCCGCGGCCCGGGATCACTCCGGGAAGATGCAGCTGCGCATTAGATATGCCGCTTTGTCCTCCTTCCTTCTTTGGTTGTAATCGTGACGGCACGCATGAGGCATGAGAATCCAGGAGCTCAAGTCCGATGCCACTGAACGGCAGGCAAACGGAAGTTTGTCTGTCAGACATGTAGTGCCGTCATGACTAGTAATTAGTGGTTGGATGCAGTACAGTTTCGACGCCTGTCATGATCCTCTATCTTGGGTCTTGTGCTTGCAGTGTGCTTGCGATTGTGGCTCTGTGTCTACTACCACAAGCACAACCACAACAACAACCACCACGACCACGACCACGACCACGACGACGACGACCACTACCGCCACCTTCAACGGCAGAGAAAAAAAAGCAGCAGCAACAACAACAACAACAACAACAACAACTATTACCAGGCGGGAGGCAAAAAAAACTTACGAGAGCTACAATTACCGGTGCGACCGCCATCCAGACCGCGACAGCCACTACCGCTACTGCCACAAGCACTCTCACACTTACTATTGTCACGATATGCCAATTGATATACCGCTGCTACTGCTGCGGCTGCGGCAGCTGCTGCCGCTGCTGCTACCACTCCGGCTCCTGCTGCTACTGCCGCTGGTGCTACTCCCGCTGCAGCTACTGCTGCTACCGCATGTGCTGATGTAGCTGCCACAGATGATGCTGATACTGCACCACCTGCTGCTGCTGTTGCTGTTGATGTAAACAAGTTTTTGGACTGTACTTGACAAGGAAGATGTGAGTCTGAAGTTGTGTGTATGTGCTTTTGATGTGTCGACTGGTAACACGAACCCGTGGCATATTCCCTGCGACTTGAAAGTTTGACTCCCAGCATCTTTTGTCGTCGTTCCCGCCAGAGGGCAGCCCGGTGGCCGCTCCAAAATGGCATTGCTACGCTTGGCACCGCATGGTGTAGTGTTGTTGTGCTCGCGGTGCACCCTGTATTTCATAGTTACTACAGCCTACCAATGAAGTTGAGATGTCGCCGGTGCCTTTAGCAAGCGACGTTGATGCCCTGTTTTTACTGTTTCGTGGCTGAGCACAGCACATCGAAGAGCAGGGCGGGTTCGTCAAAATTCCAAACACCCGCAGCCTCACAAGCTTCGAATGCAACCTTACACACACACACACACACACGATCGTTTGCATCGGCCGACCGAGAGGGAGAGAGCGAGAGCCCTGACGAAAGAAAGAAGCAAAAGTGTCAGGCTTTCGATTCAAGATGATTCTGCAATGCGAAAGCACTGGTATAGCAGACGGCTGTATATCTAGCATGCTTAGGTTAGAATAGCAGTCAGTAAGAGTCAAGTTTTTGCTCCGGCCCTCAAGAAGTTGGAGCCGAGAGGCGCGGATGAGTCGGGAGCACACCAGCGAGGCCGACAGCCTCCAGAACGATCCGAAAGTGTGCCTAAGGTTCAGCGCCTGGCAGTTTAGGCTACCTGCTTCAATCGAATTTGTGCTCGCCGTGTTCCAAAACTTGAATGTACATATATATTGATATATATATATATATATATGTATGGAAAGAGTTTCCATGATGCCCGCATGGTTCTCGACAAGAGTTTATATGCGCATCGCATGCACCGGGCCCTGATTGAAAGGTGTCAGCACTGGAGCGCGCCTGCGAGGTGCCGCATGTGCCATGGATAGGGTTTGGAGCTCATGGAATGAGGGTTGAGGACCAGGATGAGTTCTGCTGAATGGAATGTGTTCGATGTCCGACTGGAGAGCACACATGCTGTTTGCATCCTGGCTGCATTCCTCGACTGTGCCGTGACGCAGGAGATGAAGGCAGAGGTAGCAAGCGCACGGGTGCCAAGTTCCTACTTGAAGGATCAGTGAGTTGAGTAAGTAGTGTACCAGTCGGGTCATACATAAAGTAACTCAAAGAGGGTATGCATGACTCTACGTTCATTACCTGCGCACTAAGTCTTCTGATCCTGCAAGCGCTGCACAGCTTCTTTGTCCATGAGTCTTACTGCATCAAGGGTGCCCAAGTGGATCAGGGCTCGGAATTCGGTGCGTTGATTGTTTTGGAGATTCAGCACAAAGGGTAGCATCAACCACGAGCATATGGGCTTACTCACCGGCTATGAAGGCGCGGTGCAAGATACTCGTAAGGCACCTTCAGCATATTCAGCGAACTGCCTCTGATGCGAAAGGCTGTGGAGGAAGCGGAAGCAGCCAAGCGGGAGGCGAGGATGCAGATGTCGTCTGTTAGCCGGATACCCATCACGGTAAAGCAACACTTTGGCGAGCGAGTAAGGTAAAATAGTTCAGCTGGGTACATAGCCCCAACTTACTTGTAGCTTAAGTTGCGCACAAGAGCTTGGAGCATGATTGGATATGTCATGTTCGTGTCGCATGCCGCATTCCCGGATCCTTCCGTCTCTGCTATCGTGTCGAAATCTGATGCTGGCAACGCAGCCACGTCTGTGGTTCAGACCCATTCTACTAGTTGTTTGCCCTTGCTGAGCTGCTTGGCAAGTCGGGGAAGCCATAATGTTTTGATTTGCTTAAAAACACTTTTATTAAGCTTGTTGTAGATATACAATCACATCGATTTAAGTTCAAGGCCAGAGCCCGGTTTTGGAGTCTGCAGGAAAGTTGTCTTATGTTGCCTGCCTGGACTAAGGTGCACTCTGCACTCATTCATCCATGGTCATGCAAATCAGCAAGATGCTTTCCCTCACAATGCTTCTGGGATGCTTCGGTGCCTTGGGTAGACATTCAGGATCTCTCTTCCCTCCTCGCCCGTCCTCAACTGGGCCTGCTCTGAGGTGCTGTCCAGGCCGAGAGCCAAGTGGGCCAAGACCCGAGGATGATGCGATATGAAGCCCGCGTCGATGCAAATGGGGAAGCCCAAGACTTTGCACCTTGGCGTGTCTTTCGACTGCTTTCCCGAGCCCAAACTTCTTTTTGACTTCTACAGCAACAGCGCAAGGAATGCAGGTTGTTGTATTCCGATGTTCTAGAAGCGGCACTTAGCTAAGTGACACGCAGGCCGGGACAGTGATTGATTGCAAAGACCGCAAGGTACCTGTTCCAGACCATTCCGCCCATCATCGGGTGCGGAATCAAGCCGCCCTGCTTGCAGGCCTTGAGCATGAGGTATCCACACAGTCGAAGCAGGCAACAATTGAGCAGCAAGACGGCTCTCTCATCTGATGCCACCCCCGCCCAACACCACGCCGAAGTCAGTAGTCGACAAGTAGCTCTGTCGACATACGTCAACATTGTGGAATCACATCAAACTGTGCGCAAGGTTTGTCATCTTAGACGCCATGTCACGAAGCTGCTCAAACTAGTAGTGTTATGCCGTTAAGTTATGCCTGTTAGCGACACGACTGAGCCTGCAACACTGGCACGGGCCTGGCGTGCAAAACGTTATTCGCAATCGAAGTCGTCGTTGTGGTGGCCATCGTCCTCATCAGCATGGGCAGGAATTTTAGCGGTGGTGAATGGTTGAAACAGCAAAATATGCGTGGAAGTGGCAGCGGCAGTGCACCGAAGCTGGCAAGGACGACCACCGACGATTGCCACGACTCGTTCTGTTCTTGCTGTTGCCACGATTGCTCGCGCTGCCACTACGGTTTCTAAGCACAAACGAATCACCACGAACCGTGATTTTGCGTTCCGATGTCATGTTCAACGGCGGCTTCGGCAGGTGACCAGACACCTCCAGCACCGGCCGCACCAGCAACCACCACACTGTTCCCGCAGAATCCCAAAGGACCGGCAGGCTTTGCTGCACTCGGAGTTCGTTACTTGGAGCTTCTTGCCGCTTTGGCAGTCTGTTCGGCAGCATGGTAGATTTCTCACACGCTTAACGAACAATGGCAAGCACACCGCCAAGCCTGTAGGAATTTAAGAGCGGTGGGATTTTGGACCAAGAGGACCCCTTGCCATCGACGACAATGCATGGACGCTGCTCTTCAAAGCGAAGCTTGGCGCGCTGTTCCCCGTGCTCATCCTCTTTATGCTGACCTTCTGACTCTTGGACGCAAGTGCTAGGTGGGTCTATCTCAAAAACTCCACAAAACGTGCAAGTGAATCTGTTTCCAAAAGACACAGGGCCGTGTTGTAAGGGACCTATGTTTGGGCTTGGTGTGCTGGTAAGTAGACTTGGGGTGTGATGTGCAAACGGCACAACTCCGGATCGTCGATCATCCTTGTGGAGAGACTTCCTGCCGTCAGGTTTGCTCGCCCTGTCCAGCTGCATGTTTTTCAAAGCCAAGAAAGCCGAGGCAGGACCGAATACAGCTAGTTTGCACAGAGCTTGGAATTGGTACAGTAGCGCAGTCATGCAGCCCACTGCAACCATCACAACCAGTCCGGGTCACCATCATCATACCACGACAGACAGAGAAGCATCAGCAATGCTATAACAGCTAGTAGCAGCTAGTACATACGATATCGGTGCAGCACGGATAGGACATGACCGTGTTTGCCACCAAAATTCACACTGTGGGGTAATGGCATACAGCAGCGCGCAACAGCACCTACGCATGCATGTTCAGATACATCTTGCAGCCTATAATGTACTGCGCAGTGAGAAAGTAGCATTCCGGGGTAAGGGCTTGGGCCATTCCTTAGTCTTGTAACTGTGCACCTGCTACTGGGAGGGAGAGAGAGAGAGAGAGAGAGAGAGAGAGAGCAGCTCTCATTCAGACCTCCTTGCGGGTCTTTGATCGGACCCCTGTGCCCTGGACAAGGGAAAAGATAGAGACGGTGGGAGTGGGTGTGTGTGTGTGTGCGTTCGCATCGTATACTCGCCTAGACATTGCCATTAACAGTTGTGTTTGTTTGTGTGGACATGTAGGTAGGCAGATAGAATGATAGATGAGACAGATAGATACATCGAGAGATGCATAGATACATAGTTCACAGGTGCACAGATAGATCGACATGTAGATTGATGGGCAGGTGGATAGACGCACAGGTGGAAAGGTTGATAGCTGGATAGATGGATGCGTAGATAGACAGCTAGCCAGGTAGGTAGGTAGTTAGGTAGGCAGGTAGCCTAGGGAGTGGGATCGCAACGCATCGGCGCAGCAATGTGTAGTCAGTATAGTGACGTACCTGAGCCGATTCCTTGACGGCCAATTTATTAGTTACATGCTCAGCGACGACACATTGGGCATTGGGCGCTGTCTGAAGAACCTCAAACGTGCCAGGGAGATGAAGCAGAAGAGCTGAAAGCACAGGCATGTGGACCAGAGGCTGGCACAAAGGGTTTATTTCAAGAGTTACGTTCGGATTGTTGTTGCATTGTCGGTATTTAGGCAGCTTGGTTGATCAAGTGGATTTGAGACTGGCTCCCTCTTCAGATGCCATGTGAGGGATTGGAAGAAGACCTCTATGGACTGGCGATTGCATCCATTGACGCCTGTCCTGCAAGACGGTCGAGGGTGAGCCACTACTCAACTGCAACATGACGATTGTTGCTGCTCCTGCCTGCTCCTGCTGCTCCTGCTCCTGTTCCTGCTGCTGTTGCTACTGCTACCACGACCACTACCACGACCACTACCACGACCACTACTACTACTACTACTACTACTACTACTACTACTACTACTACTACTACTACTAGTAGTAGCACTACTAGCACTACTAGTACTAGTAGCACTACTACTACTACTACCACCACCA